CTAAGTTGCTAGCGTTTCCATATATCAACTCTAATATCAGGAGATGGCCTTGCATACATGTATCTCATAGCAGGAGAATGTCTGCATTCACACACAAAATACTCATAGACAGTATACTCCGGGTGATTTGCCGTACGGTCAGTCGTGAAACGTAATTACATTATAGCTGGCGTAGCGTGTATGCTACCGAGCTAACCAACGGAGCTAGACATGGGTTTGCTCTGGATTTTTTTTTTGTTATGCCAGCTACAATGAATGTAACAAACTACCCGTATAAGATTGCAATTGTAAACACGTTCTTGCTAGTCTAATATGAATCACTAGCTTTTGTTCATAGTGGTTTTATTACACTAAACAAGCCCAGCTTACTGGGCTAACGACGTTGCTAGCGTTTAAATATATCAACTACAATGTCAGCAGATGGCCTTACATGTTTGTCATGGTAGGAGAATGTCTGCAGTCACACACGGGATACTCATACAGTATACTCCGGGTGATTTACCGTACATTGTGACCGTACATGTACATACTGCATGTATAGCTAACGAGGCTAGCTATACATGCTAGCGCAAAACAATGTATTCATGCCAGTTACAATGAATGACCGAACGTAGCAGACTACCCGTATAAGATTGCAATTATAAACACGTTATTGCTAGCCTAATATGAACCACTAGCTTTTGTTCATAGTAGTTTTATTACACTGCATTATAGTTGCCGTTCCTCCGAGCTAGCGTTCATATCGTGTTAGCTACCAAAGTAAACAAAGCTAGGTTAGCATATTAGCTGGCAAGCTTACTGTGTTCATTAGATAGATCCACACTCCTACCACAACTACTACTAACAAATCTAAAACAACTAAGTTTCTCTAATATTTTGTGATTTGCATTTGATTTCGTCCAGCCAGATCCTGCCGGACAATACATGACGGGGACGGGACTACTACTACTGATGCATCGTCCTAAAAAGCCCCGGCTGCGATAGGCAAGATGCCGACAACGGGGAGGAATGGATGATATACCGTGTATATATGTATATTTATGTTCATTTTGTACATTTCTAAAAATAAAGTTTAATGGAAATACTTAGTAGGCCTATCCTTTCTTCCCTGAATTATTTGCTCCTATAACATATCATTCATAAATAGCAAACCATGATTTGATTTCTCATCAAACAGTAGTAGTTTATTACAGGTAAAAATAACTTACTCTTTGTTATGACCGGCTCGTAGGTCACAACGGAAAGACAAGGAGACATTCACGAGTTTACAAAACCACGGCACATTTATTGTGGTGAATGCAGAGATAGGTGGTCGAGGGGAGAGGATCGCCGAGTTCGTCCTTCTGCAGCCGCTTTGGAGAGAGACAGGGGCCGCCGAATGACTCCGGGCAGCTGGGCTTAATAGCACCTCGGCTCCGGCCAGGTGTCCGTGATCGCGCTGATTAGCCTCTTCAGCTCCACCCCATCGTAAGACAAAGGCCCTGGGGCCGTCACACTCTTCGATAACAACAGTTGTAGGTACAGTTTTGTTAGTTAGCGTATAAAATATACGGCTGTACCGACGCCATTATAAGACTGATGTTCCGAGAGCGAGCCGAAAAAAGCACTGTTAGACATGGGCGGAGCCTCTCTGGTGGTGGACTAATCAGAACAGAGTGGCCGAGCTGACCAATCGGAGCACACTAGGCTCACAGGGAGGAGGGGGGCAAGAGCTCCAACGAGTCGTTTAGTGGAGAGAGTGAATACTGCTGAATACACATACTTTACAGAGATGCTGTATGCGAAACCAATGTGAGTTTGGAAAATTGCACAGTATAAATCTATTTTAGTATACCTCAACAATGGAATTATGATCAGTGGAAATGGCCATGACATGGGCCCTTTAAGGTCTTAAATGACATTAATTTAAACACAGACAGTGGCAGAATATCAGTGTTAGTATTATTAGATCTCAGCGCTGCCTTTGATACTGTTGACCACAACATATTGCTAGACCGTCTAGAAAACTGGGTGGGAGTTTCAGCAACAGCTCTAAACTGGTTTAGTTCCTACTTAAAGGACAGAACAAACTTTGTCTCAATAGGCAATTACAAATCAACCCTGATGAATATGTCATGCGGGGTTCCTCAAGGCTCCATTTTAGGATCTTTGCTTTTTAATATGTATATGCTACCTCTGGCTGAAATTATTAAAAAGAGCGATCTAAGCTATCACATCTATGCAGACGACACCCAGATTTATTTTAAAATTACACCGGGAGACTACTCTCCGATTAGAACACTGAGCAAGTGCATTGAGCACATCACTGACTGGATGACTTAGAACTTTCTCCAATTGAACAAACAAAAAACTGAGATCATTGTTTTTGAAGCAAAGAAGGACCGATTAAAAGTAATCACAGAGCTTCAGTCGGCAGACTATAAAGTAACTCACAAAGCAAGAAATCTGGGTCTAGTGTATGGACCTGAATTTTAACAGTCACATTACAACAGCTATTAGGTCTGCATACTACCACCTGAAGAATATATCAAGGATTAAAAAACTAATGTCGCAACAGGATTTAGAAAAACTTGTCCATGCTTTTATTTTCAGTAGACTCGACTACTGCAATAGTGTCTTCACAGGCCTCACTAAAACATCTATCAGAAAGCTGCAGCTGATTCAGAACGCTGCTGCTCGAGTTCTCACTGACACTAGAAAAGTAGATCACATCAGTCCGGTTCTGAGATCATTACACTGGCTTCCAGTCGACCAAAGAATTGATTTTAAAATACTACTGCTAGTTTTTAAATCACTAAATGGCTTAGGACCGAGGTATATAGACGACCTCCTCCATCACTATGAAGCATCCAGGAGTCTCAGGTCCTCTGGGTCGGGTCTGCTCTCTGTTCCGAGAATAACAACTAAACATGGAAAACTCTGTAGGTAAGTATATTGTTGATGTTTATATGCATATCGTTTTTTTTTATAATAGTTTGAACTTTAGTGCAATGCCTTGTTTATTACTTGTTTCTGCAGCTGCAACTAAATATATAGGTAAATCTAATCTCATCTAAATAAACCTTCAATAATAAAGAGCAGAAAGAATGAAACTTAAAAAGGCTAATATAGATTAAGACGGGTATAAAAAGCAAGAATACGAGTTACAATTCAGCGTTCGATATGAAAAAGTATTTTATTTCTGCTTCCACCCTGATTCAAAGGAGGTAAAAGGACTCAGTCTCAGGTTGTACATGTCTCTCTGGATCTGAGTTCCTGGCTGGTTCTGGTCCTCCACAGTCCTCTCCATCAGCTTCTGTTTCCAGGTGTTCAGTTTGTCTTTGATGAAGCTGAGAGGACTGAGGTTTCTCTTCATCATCTTCACTCTTCACAGGGACAGGAGTGAATGTGGACTTGGTGATATCAGCCTCCTCCAGCCCTTGAAGCTGCTCTCCCTCCTGACTGCTCCAGAGTTCCTCCTGCTCCTCTTTAATGTGTGGGGGGGGCTCTGGGTCCTCCTGGTCCAGACTGGAGCTCCACTCCTGCTGCTCAGGGGGAACCTCTTCTTTAACCACCACCAGCTGCTGGACGTCTGCAGGAAACAGGAAACACACACAGAGACGTTACAGAGAACAGCTGTTGTGTTCATTACGTCACCGCTCAAAGCCCCGTTTTGAACCCCTTGTTTGTATATTCCTAATTAATATCATAAATACCTATGGCTAATATCTTTTTACATTTATGCACCAACAACTATCGCAGAGAAAGGTAAGTGTAATTATAATTGGAGTGGTTTGGTACCCCTACATGTGGATACAGCTTGGGACCCGGATTGCCTTTTGTGTTTTTAAGGCAGCTCTAAATAGAGATATGAATGATTTAGAAGAGTAACTAGAGCGGTCAGTCAAATGAAGTGCAGTCATGGCCTTACCCCCCATCGGTGAAACACGATAAGAAGTGCTGCTCGAGCGTTAACTTATAAAAATCCTTCAAACATTTGTATTTTCTATTCACAAGTTTTAACTTCTGATGTGAACCATGCCTCGCAAAAAAAAGATATCGGAAGACCTACGAGGAAGACATTTAGATTTCACCAAAAGTTAGGGATGCACCGATAGGAGTACGAGTACATGAGGACAGCATCGGCCTGATACCCGTTAATGGGATCGGTATCGTTGCATCCCTAATAAAACACAGAGGGTTACAAATTAATATCAAAGAGTTGAGATATTGATGAAGATGCAGGTTATGTATAATGGGTTACAGGGTTAACCCTTGGTTGTGCAGCCTGATGGCTACAGGCACAAAAGATTGTCCGAGAAGCTTAGTGCTGTGCCGAGGAGGGATGAGTCTGAGGCTCATGGGGGGGGCGTCTCCTCTCCTCTCTGATGAGCTGCTGCTGAAGGGGGGGGGGGGGCATGCTGCAGGACTTCCGCCCCGTGTAGCGGGTGTCTGCAGGATCAGTAAATGAAATCCAACATTCAATGTTCTGGGGAGGACGTTGTTTACCCTGTCTGCACTGCTCCTTCAGCGACAGGCTGCTGCACCCCCGCTGTCTCACGGAGAGATACCGCAGGTCCTTCCTTCCTGCAGCGATCAGACTATGTGCTAACTGTGCAATATATACCTGGCTGCTAAATCCTCAAAACTTTAAAAAGAAAAACGTTAATACTTTTGTATGCATGCTTCTCCGTAACATTAAGCTGCCTTTGGCTCTTTTCTGTTGTAACGACGTACATTTCCCCTCTGGAAAGTATCCTGATTGATTTGACCTGGGGGCACAACAACACGTTGTATATGATAGGCTAAGGGGCGGGACATCTCTAAGTGGTCGACCAATCACAACAGAGCCGGCCAGCTTACCATTCAGAGCAGACTGGGCTCTGGTTTCAGACAGAGGGTGAAAAGAGGCAGTATGACAAAAATAAAGAGCTTTTTCAACCTTAAAGCATGGAGACATGTCCCAGTGAAGACAACATACTAATACCAACCTGAAAATGAACAGAATATGTCATCCTTGTTGTCCTCAGTCTCTTGTTGTAAATGTCTCTCTGGATCTGAGTTCCTGGCTGGTTCTGGTCCTCCACAGTCCTCTCCATCAGCTTCTGTTTCCAGGTGTTCAGCTGAGCTGCTGGCTGGAGGCTCTGCCTCTCTGTTCTCCTCAGTTTGATGAAGCTGTGAGGACTGACGACCAACACACTTATGGATTTTGACCAGATTACCCCGGATAAATCTTTTATCACAAACACTACAATGGAATGGTTTGTCTCCTGTGTGGATTTTCATGTGTCTCTTTAAATCTCCTTTCTGTGTAAAAGAATTGTTACAAACTGAGCAGCTGAATGGTTTCTCTCCTGTGTGGATTCTCATGTGTGTCTTTAAATCTCCTTTACGTGTTAAAGACTTCTCACAGACTGAGCAGCTGAATGGTTTCTCTCCTGTGTGGATTTTCATGTGTGTCTGTAAATTTCCTTTCTGTGTAAAAGAATTGTCACAGACTGAGCAGCTGAATGGTTTCCCTCCTGTGTGGATTCTCATGTGTTTCTGTAAACTTCCTTTCTGTGTAAAAGAATTGTCACAGACTGAGCAGCTGAATGGTTTCCCTCCTGTGTGGATTCTCATGTGTGTCTGTAAACTTCCTTTATGTGTAAAAGAATTGTTACAAACTGAGCAGCTGAATAGTTTCCCTCCTGTGTGGGTGCTCATGGGCCTATTCAGATGTATCTTGCTGCAATTTTCTTTCCCGCACTGTGAGCATCTAAAGCATTTATCTCTAGCACTACGTCTTGAATCACTGACAGGGTCTTGTTTATTTTTCGCAGACTTTGAAGCTGGTTCTCTGGGTTCCTTCCAATCTCCACTGTCTTCAGTGTCTTCAGAAGAGTCTCCAGGGTAGTCCTCAGTCTCAGGTTGTAAATGTCTCTCTGGATCTGAGTTCCTGGCTGGTTCTGGTCCTCCACAGTCCTCTCCATCAGCTTCTGTTTCGAGGTGTTCAGTTTGTCTTTGATGAAGCTGAGAGGACTGAGGTTTCTCTTCATCATCTTCACTCTTCACAGGGACAGGAGTGAATGTGGACTTGGTGATATCAGCCTCCTCCAGCCCTTGAAGCTGCTCTCCCTCCTGACTGATCCAGAGCTCCTCCTGCTCCTCTTTAATGTGTGGGGGGGGCTCTGGGTCCTCCTGGTCCAGACTGGAGCTCCACTCCTGCTGCTCAGGGGGAACCTCTTCTTTAACCACCACCAGCTGCTGGACGTCTGCAGGAAACAGGAAGCACATATTCAGAGAAACTGGAGAGTATAAGAATTTAAAATCTAACCACGAGTAACACTTCATTAACTTTGCAGCCCTTATCCATTCCTTATTTTAAATGCTTGCCTATTGATTTGCTAAGTCCCGCCCACTCTGTGTTTCTGTTGGCTCAATTGTCTGTCAATTACACCTTTTTTCCAGATGCTCTGGAGAGCTTCAGGACAACAGGTGAGTTAGTACTGTAGCTGATCTAAATCATAGTAACAGTGCTTAGTTTGGACAGGGAGAGCGTGGGGGCGAAGTTTCTACTTTTCTGTTTGCAGATATGAGTTTCTACATGTAGGTTTGAGTAATTCATGCTAATGTTAGTTAGCAGGGTTAGCTCTGTATGTACTGGCTGCATGAGATGTTGGTCTGTTTTTAGTGATTGTTTTAGAAAGTTGGAGGGGGCTCCTATTATGGCACTGCTAGCTGTGCCCTTCATTTAACACTTAGAAAATAGGCAGGAGTAGTACTGTTGAGGAACCGGTGACCTACGTTTGCATAGCATAACTACACCGTAGTTGTGTATATGATATGACAATATCACCAAGGGGGGTCCTGTGTGGGTGGAAGCTCATTCCCCAGCAGACCCAGTCCTCCAGAATTGTCCTAATCACAGAGTAAATGAGAAAAAAATTAATTGATCTAATTATACACAGGGTGGCAAAATTATGATTGCAAAATGTAACTCAGCATTACAGACAAAACCATATTTAAAATGACGTACGGTTTTAGTTTAAAAAATAAATAAGAAGTGACAGTCACAGCTAGCATCCCTTTGACAGCACTCCAAAAACTGAAATCAAGCAAAAGTCTTCTGTCCATTTCTGATGGTCTTATTATTATGGGATAAGGATACATATTTCCTGGATTATTCGAACCACGCTCCGAAGCCTCGGCGCAGTACTTAAAGGTAGGGTAGGTAAGAATGGAGAAACCAGCTCGAGTGCGCTAGAATTTGAAAGAACACAACCGAAAGAAATCTGCCCGTTCCTTCAGACTTCCTCACAGAGCCCCTCCTCCAACACAAACGAACGCGCACATGACCAATGAATTACCTACCCTACCTTTAACATCACTATAGATTATGTTCCAAACCACATCAAGCATTATTTCTGAAACAGTATGGAGCTCAAACGCTTTCTATCTTGCGGGTTTAGCACAAGGTGAGTTCCTTTAATATCCGGCTTCTTCACACATACTCCCTCCAGTACAGCGTTAGCTCTCAGTGTTAGCGATGCTTGCTAATGTAATCAGACCATATTACTCCCAAAACACGTTGCGCATTATTCTGATACAGCGATGTTTCTGATAGGTTGGGGCGGAACGTTTATTCAGTGTTTACCACTAGAACAGTGCCATTGTATGTATTAGTATTGTCACGATACCAACATTTTTGTTTCGATACCGATACCAAGTCAAGAATTGCGATTTCTTAAAAAAGGGGAAACTGTCTTAAAGCTCCCATGTCATGCTTTTCCGGTTATTACCCGTCCCCTTGTGTGTTATGAAGGTTTTTATGCATGTAAACAGTGTGCAGAGTCAAAACCCTCAAAGTACACCCTGTAGCGAGTAAAACTCTAACACAGAAAATACCTCCCCAAAACGCCTCGTTGGAGATACGTCACTGCCCATTTGAGTCTTCCATTTAGTTCCGGGTACGGCCTGATGTCATGCGGTACCCGGAACGAAATGGACCAATCCCGAAGAGCTATGGCCACACCCAGCGGCGCTGGCCGCACCCTCTGCCAGCCTAACATGTACTGTTGGAAGCTGGTTCAGTTCACAATCATCTAGTCATGCCGATGCCAAGGACCTGTTTCCTGAAATGTGAGGAGAAATCTGAGCTGTTTGTCCTACCGACGGAAGAACCACGACGGAGTCAGTGGTTGACATTTCTGTTTAACACTGTTCCTTCAGAGGTTCGAAGAATGTTACTGTGTGCCCGGCATTTCACAGACGAAAGCTTCCAAAACATTGCCCAGTTTGAAGCCGGATATGCACAGCATTTGAAACTGAAGGACGATGCTATGCCTAGTTTGTTTGGACCGTTTGGAGCAGGAGAAGATTCGAGTACACAACCTGTAAGTTTGCATTTATTTGTGTATTTATCAAACAATGTATCTACCACCACTGGTTAAATGTGTAAACCGCCTCCTAAATCATTGACATAGTGCTAACTAGGCTAACTGTTGCTAGCGTTTCCATATATCAGCAGATGCCTTGCATACATGTTCCTCGTAGTTGCATAATGTCTGCATTCACACACGAAATAGTCATAGACAGTATTCTCCGGGTGATTTAGCGTACATTATAGCTTGAGCTATAAGCTACACGCGTGTAAACTACACAAACAACGATGCTATATTTAGTTTGGACCCACAACCTGTGAGTTTGCATTGTTATTTGTGTATTTATCAAACAATCAGCAGATCGCCTTACATGTTCCTCATAGCTGGATATTGTCTGCATTCACACACGAAATAGTCATAGACAGTATTCTCCGGGTGATTTAGCGTACATTATAGCTTGAGCTATAAGCTACACGCGTGTAAACTACACAAACAACGATGCTATATTTAGTTTGGACCCACAACCTGTGAGTTTGCATTGTTATTTGTGTATTTATCAAACAATCAGCAGATCGCCTTACATGTTCCTCATAGCTGGATATTGTCTGCATTCACACACGAAATAGTCAGAGACAGTATTCTGTGATTCGGTGATTTACGTATAGCTTGAGCTATAAGCTACAAGCTACCAAGCTACACAACAACGAGGCGATATATATATGGCGTAACGACCGTGCCAGCTACAATGATTTGAGCAGACTACCCATATAAGATTGCAATTGTAAACATGCTGTTGATAGCTTAATATGAACCACTATCTGTTGTTCATAGTATAGTATAGCATATTACACTGAACAACTAGCCAACGTAGATTAGCATTGTAATCCAGCTGGCAAACTGACGAACATCACACAACTAAGTTTCAATAATATTTTGTGATTTGCACTTCATTTCGTTAGGAATGTCTCCCAGAAAGTGTTGCTTTTAGGAAATTGACTGTTTTCATCGGATACAAAATTAAATTTATGAATGTTATTTGTATCTTTCTTAGAGTACATCACAGCAGGACCCCGGTAAACACCACCGCTCCAGTACAGTCGGATGCCAAACAGACCGTACAAAGACTGTTTCTGTGGGAACTCTACAGAGGGCTGAGACACGGTCTGTGGGAACTCTACAGAGGGCTGAGACACGGTCTGTGGGAACACAGACAGTGGAATTGAAAGTGTCAGTTGCTACACAGTTGTCCCGTGGAACACTGAAGTCGGCACACGTGAGGAGCAAAGGTATAACATAACACTGACATTGACTGTATTTTTCATTTGAGATACCTTAATTGTGCTTTTATTACATGTACAGCACTTTGGCTCGAACAAAATCGTTTTTTAAATGTGCTCTATAAATAAAACTGTATTTGATATTATTGTTTATCACTGAAATACTGTTATGTGGACTACAGGAAATACAGTGCTTTGCTCTGTGTAGTTCATTCTAAATATTTCATGAATTCCTGTCAGATGTACACAAGTTGTTGGCCTTTTAAAATGTATTAGTGTATTATATAATGTACAAAGTATTTATGCATTTTTCCCTTTTATTAACAGGCATCCAGGCCACGGTTTCTTTCCAAAGTGTTGGCACTGAAACTTCCACCTACCCAGATTTCCGCTTGGCCTCTACACCAATAAAGGGCCCAGGACTGGGACCTAGGAAGAGACCTCGACTGGAGTTGGAGGAGGAACAAGGAGAGACTTCAACTGAATTTGAAGAGACTCTGGATTCGAGTTACCACCCTGATGATTCTGTACTTGCAGAAGAATCTGACGTATCGTAAGTTTGATATATTGGGTATACATTACTATTACTGTACTTCAGAGTTGAAAAAAAGAATATTGGAAATCTAACATGTATTGTTAATTTTGTTTTGTTACATTAGACTTCAGACACGATCCACGCACAGTGAAGCAAAGTACATTGTGTTTGAAAGCTGCCTCGGACAGCTGTTTGAAAAATGTCCAGTGTGTAAGAGAGACTGTGATGTCCAAAGACGAAAACTGGGGACTTTTGTGGCGTTCACACAGCGTTGTCCAAGCTGCAGTTACCTCAGACAATGGGAGAGCCAGCCCGTCGTCGGAAGTACCCCGGTTGGCAACTTGCAATTATCCGCTGCTACATACTTCAGTGGTGGTTCCTTCTTCCAACTACAAAAGGTATTTTACCATCTAACATCCATAGCATATTAAAATTGACAGCAGTGGACTTTTTCAAAAACGTTTCCTCTTTTTCTATGTATTCATAGATATGCAGAGCCATGCAGCTGGAGATCTTCCAGTATGAGACCTTCAGGAGGCATGCTAGGAATTACCTGGAGCCTGCTATTATCCACAAGTGGAAGACTGATCAGCTGAAGATTTTCCAGCAACTACACCACCAGGGGGGAAAGGTCACAGTTGCAGGAGATATGAGAGCAGACTCTCCAGGTAAGCAGAAACAGACAAGACAGTCTAGTGCCAGAGTTACTGGTGTATATTACAATTCATCTAAGTTATCCATTGACATTCTGTTGAAAAGCTTTGAAACCTCCTTTATTATATTATCTTCAGGGCACTCAGCGAAGTTCGGAAGCTACACACTCATGCGCCTGGGAAGCAATACCATTGTGGACTTCCAGCTTGTTCAGGTGTGAATCTCTTTCTGGGTGTTATCATTTTATGCTTACTGGCTGTTGATGCATGTTTCAGTGTATTTATGCCCTATTTCTTATTCACCAACAGAGCAATGAAGTTGGTGGTAGTTATCACATGGAAAAGGAGGGACTGAAAAGATGCCTAGATCATCTGGAGTCAAACAATTTGGCGGTTGAGTACATTGTGACTGACCGTCATCCACAGATC